TAAAGTTTCCTGATGGAATATATTTGGGTGAAAGGAGGGCTCGATGAATCAAGATTTTTTTTTAATCTCACCAATTAAGGTGGGAAAGACTGTAGGTGTAGGAGCGAAGGGACAACCGGTTCTACTTTGGACATACTGAATTTAAAGTCTAGTGGAAATCTATAGCACCTCAGTTCCTCTTGATCTTGCTTGCCTGTGGGCCTTCAGCCACTGGTCAACCTACTCAGGTAGTAGCCCCCGACAGTGCTCTGCCTCATGCCCAGGTCTCTTTTATCTTTTAAGAGTCTATACATACGCCTCTTGTGGAGGTATGTTTGCACTAGGGCAAGGGTTAGCATTCTTTTAACTGAATCCTGACCCTCTCCCCTGATTTACTGCTTTTTCCCCACCCTTATTTCCCTGAGATTTGACTCCTTAATAAAATAGCAGCACAGAAACTTTTGCCTCAGGTTCTGCTTTCTGATAGAACACAAGCTGGAACAACATTCTAGTGGTTATACAAGTTAGTTGTTTAAATGAATCTAGAATTTGGGAGAGTGATTTGGGGAAAAAAGGTAATTTTAATCACTGTCAACACAGACAATAGTATTTATAATGAGACTAGATGAGAGCACAAAGAAGTGATCAAAAAAGACAAATGTCCGGTAGAGAAGTTGAAGGTTTAGTTTTTTGATAGTAGAGATGATGTTTTGTTCACTGCCAGGGCCCCAGTTTCTAGAAAAAAAAAAAAAAAACATAGTAAAAAGTCGGTGCTCAACAGATATTTTTAGAATAAATAAGTCATCATGGCCTTGGGGTTAGGTAGGAAAGAAAATCAAGTCATGAGAGGTGATGAACTAGGAAAGACAGGGTTCCTAGAACTTAAACTTTGTGAAGGTGAAAATAAGATTCAACAGCAGGAGGAAAAAAAAAAATAAAAACAGGAAAAGGAAGCCATGGTTAGCAAAAAGTTCTCATATACCACTTTTTCCTTGAAAACTTTTATAAGCATCTCATGGGACCTTCCCTTTTTTGCTGCCTCTTTCAAGATATTCATCTATATTTAACTGTGTTAAGTTATATCCATGTGCTTCCCTCTACTTTGATCTGTTTCTTCTCCTTAATATTGACCATATCTTCAAAATTGGGAAAATGAATTTTAAAATGAAGTGGCTTCCAAGTCCCAGAGACAAAAATCAGATGCTGAAAGTTTAACCTTTCCAGTTCATGTCTGTTTTATGGAGAGGTTGGAGTAGAATAAATGAAATTAGGAGACTGAATTTCAAATCTGGACTAAATCCAACTGAGTAAAATAACCTGAGTTTGAATGAATGGATAACTGAATGAATAAGTGAATGGGTCAAGTTAAATGAGTAGAGGCCACTAGAACAAAAATCAAGAGGAACATGATTTATTAACTTGAGTCCCACTGGTTTTATAGAATGGCACAAGTGAAAAAGGGAAGCAGGCTTGCAATTATAAAGCATGTAGGATTAGCAAAATAATAGAGATGTGATAAGGACTTCATGAAGATTAGTGTAAATAAAAGAGAAGAATAACCATGAGAAAATCTTAGGATAAAAAAATCATATTGGGTGGATTAATATAGACTATGGGTAGAACATTCCAAGACTTTGGTATTGTGTATAGGGCCAGGGCAAGAAAAGGAGCAGGAAAATAATGAACTCAATTTTGAAAATGTACTAAAAATTATTACATGCCAAACATTGTTCCAAGTGCACTTTACATGTTTGTCTCATTAATCATCAGATTAACACTATTACCATTTTTATTTTAGAAGCAAAAACTGAGGCACAGAGTAAACAATTTGTCTAAAGTCTCTAGCTAGTAAGTGGCTGAACCAGTGCAATGAACTGAATATTTGTGTTCCCCCCAGATACATATGCTGAAACCTTAACTCCCAATATTATGGCATAAGAAGATGGTGAGTTTGGAGGTAACTGGGTCATAAAGGTAGAGCTTTTTTTTTTTTTTTAAACGTTTTTGTAGTTGTAGATGGACAGAATGCCTTTGTTTATTTTTATGTGGTGCTGAGGATCTAACCCAGTGCTAGACATGCTAGACAAGTGCTCTGCCGCTGAGCTACAGCCCCAGCCCAAAGGTAGAGCTTTTATGAATGTTTATGAATGGGATCAGTGCCTCAAGAGAGCTCTTCCCTCTTTCATCATTTTGAGACTACAAGGAACAAACCATTATCTGCAAACTAGAAGAGGGTCCTCACCAGACCTAACTATGCTGGCAGCCTGATCTCAGATTTCCAAACTCCAGAACCAGAAGAAATAAATTTGTTGTTTATAAGTCACCCAGTCTGTTATTTTATTATAGCACCACCCCACCACAACTCACTGAGAGCCAAGATTTGAACCTAAAAAGATGGGATGGGAGGGGGGAGGGAAGAGGAAAAGAAGGCAGTGAGACAGATATGGTCTTTCCCTGCAAAGAAATTCCAGGATAAAAGTATGATAAGTATGATAAATCTGTAAAGTTCAGTAGAGGGAGTGGGTTGAGAGAAGAATTCCAGGGAAAGGGGATGGCATGTGAAAATGCCTTAAGGTGAGAGGCTAGTGGGGAAAAGGGAAATGGCAGAGGGGGCATGATACATGACACAACGATACCTGGAAAAAAAGAAAGATTAATTAATATGGCTGAAGTACTGAGAGTTAGGGGTAGACAGTTGGGCAGGCTGAGAAAAAAGACAAGGAGCTTATATAATGTTCAGCTAGCAAAGGGAAGCCACTGAAGGAATTTAAGAAGGGTAATGACTTGTTCTGATTTACATTTTTAAGATTACTCTGGCAGCAGTGTGGCAAATAGATTGGAATAAGGCAAGAGCAGTTTGGGGGGACAGAGGTTATTTCAGGACTTCAAATAAGAGACAAAAGTAGCTTAGACTAGAGTGGAAGAGAAAATGTGGCATGGTATCACAGAGGTCAGAAATCCATTTTTTTTTTTTCAGGAATCTGGAAATTCTGATAGTGCAGATATACGGCCTCTACATGTCTAACTTGCACCAAGCAAATACTCCCGGAGGACACACTTTACAGAGCCTGAGGCTATAGGAAGAGAGTTTTGGAGGGAAACTATAGTTTGATGCCCCAGTTATGCAAACTAGAGTGTACCAAAGGTCACTGGTGAATCTAGAGTTCAAGGTAAGATCTGAGACAGGAATTGGAGAGTTTTGACAGTGAGTATTGAAGCACTGGAAGGGACCACCTAGTAAAGTGAATATTGTGGAACTCAAAAAGAGGATCTGAGCTTAGATCAGCAGATTCCAATATATGAGTTGGATAAAGACAGTGGGGGAATGATATCAAGCATGGTGGTGTGTGCCTGTAATCCCAGTCACTTGGAAGGCAGAGGCTGGAAGATTGCAAGTTCCAGGCCAGTCTCAGCAACTTAGAGACCCCTGCCCTCGCTGTCTCAAATAAAAAGTATAAAAGGACTGTGGATGTAGTTCAGTTGTAAAGCACCCCTGGACACTGGATTGTATTCCAAGTTAAAAAAAAAAAGTGGCTAAAAAGCAAACACCAAATATATGTAAAACTGACTTAAGAGCAAAGGGAAGAGTATATTTGGAAGAGGGTGTGATGCAGTGTCAAATGCTGGGATGAAGTCTGGTTGAAAACCATCTGGTTTCACAGACATGAAGCTTGTCTGTTAACAATTCAGAGCCACTTCAGGTGAGTGGTAGGGACAGAATGTGGACCAGAACGGATAAAGCAGTGGGATATGAGAGAAAATCTATGGGGTAAGAAACAGTTGGAGTTGTTAGTGATCTAGGGAGGTGAGAAATCTTTTTAAAGAAATGAGAGACATTAGCATGTTTAAAACACTGGTCGGGATAGAGCTTGTAAAGGAAAAGCCAAAAATAAAAGGATATTCTTCAGTGTAATGTTTCTGAGAAAGCAGGGATGGAACTAAGAGAACAGGAAGGGCAACTCTTTGGAACAGAAGTCGTTAAGGGGCGGAGTCCAGAATGAACAGAAATAATTTAAAAACCTGAAAGCCCAGGGAGAGGACTGCAGGGTTCAATAAATAAGAGAATGGAGAGTTATAAGAGAATGGTTGGCCTTGGGCGACCTCAGAGAGCAGTTTGCAGTAGCTTGGAAGCCACGGAAGTCACACTGTCAACTTAGGATGGGTGGGTGAAGTAAAGGGTGTATGGGGTGCAAACCACTGCTGTACGAAACGGCTGAGAAAAGAAAGCGACACAGGATGTTGTCTGAGGGAAGGCGGGCAGGTGGAGTGAGGACAGATTTCCAGTGTCGCAGAGCAGCTTCGGTCAGGACAGGTCACTGCTCTGAGAACACCGGCTGCGGCTGAAATCACCCAGGGCCTTGCCTCACTGCTGAGCTGAACCCCGCGAGATGTCACGACTTCCGCAACCTTCACCCTCGGCCAGCGGCCACAGCGCTCTCCGAGGCGCTCGGAAAGACGGGAGGTCGGAAAAACTCTTCCCACAGAGGCCCACAACGCCCCGACCCCTCCCGACAGGCAGTCCAGTGCAGTCCCCAGACACCGGGGACGTTGGTCGAGGGGCAGCAGCAGGACTCCCGCATTTCAGCCATGTCGCAGCCCCGGAGGCGCGTCCCAACGTTTGAAAGTTCCCGGGCTCGCGGGGCCAGCGGCTCAGACCCGCCCCGCCGCAGCCGCCCTAGAGCCCGCCACTCACCGCCGCAGGGGCAGGCTAGCGCGGGGGTTTCAACACTACCCACACCCCGGGAATTCCCCACCTGGCCACACACAAACCCCGCTTCCTCCAAATTTCCGCCACCCGGTTTTATGCATTCGAACGCCGTGGAAGGGCTTGAACCGCTCCTCCCACAGCGGGTCTCGGCCCACCTTCTCCTTCCCTCTCCCCTCACAGGCCCTCCGCCTCGCCCGAAGGAGCCCGAAAGTCTTCGGCAATTTTCGCCCCCACCGCGGGGGCGGGGCCGCTCGAGCTGCTCCGGGCTGAGCTCGGCTGTTTCCGTGCGCGGCCGCTGCGCACTCGGCACTGGGCGGCGCTGGCTGGCTCCCTGGCTGCGGCTCCTCAGTCGGCGGCGGCTGCTGCTGCCTGTGGCCCGGGCGGCTGGGAGAAGCGGAGTGTTGGTGAGTGACGCGGCGGAGGTGTAGTTTGACGCGGTGTGTTACGTGGGGGAGAGAATAAAACTCCAGCGAGATCCGGGCCGCGAACGAAAGCAGTGACGGAGGAGCTTGTACCACCGGTAAGAGGAGCAGGAGGAGGAGGCAGGAGCCCGAGAGAGCCGGGGGGACGGAGGGGGGACGGGGAGGCGCCGGACACCCGCGCTCGGGGCCTTCCCCTCGCAGGAGGGGCCGCGGTAAAGATGGAGCCTCCGCCCGAGCCCCACAACATCGCCGCCGCTCGCAGCGAACAAAGAATAATGGCGGCGGACTGGAGCCAGCGGCGGCCGGGGCGGCAGCGACTCTGCCTGCAGCCAGCGGCGGCGCTCATGGCGGGGGGCGGCGGGCGGGGTGGGAGCCGGCGGCCGGGGGTGTGTGCGGGCGGCCGGCCGCGGCGAGCTGGCGCCCGCGTTCCCGCCGCCGGGCTGGGCCGGGCGCGGAGCTGGAGCCGGAGCCGGGAGCCGCCCCGGGGGAGGCTGCCCGCCCGGCCCGGCGCTGCCCCCCGCGCCGCCCGCCGGCCCCCGCCGCCCGACTCGGCCGGGCCGGGCTGTCCTGTCCGCCGGGGCGGCTGCCGCCTGGTGCCTGTGGGGGGTGGAGGAGGAAGAAGGCGACAGTTGAGGGCAGAGGAGGTGAAGGTGCCTGCCGCCTTCTCGGTCGCCTCCGTGTCCGCCGCGCCCGCTTCGCGAGGGGAAGAGCGGCAACGTCCGACCTGCTCTCCTCTCGGTTCTTTGTGCAATAAAGTTCGAAACCCAAGGTTTTCTCTCGTGCTGTATTTTTTTCTTGCCCTTTCCCCCTGCTCCCAACACCGTTGGGGAAATGTTGTTTTCTGCCCTTCGCTGCTTACTTGAGATGAGAGCTCGTGCTTTTTAAGGGAATTTTTGACTCTTTCCCCCACGCCCCCCCACCCCGCTTAAAAAAAAAAGTAGTCATGGGAATGCATTCTTTTTGAGTGGAAGGGGGTGCTAAGAAAAACAAATTTATAACTTTTTTAAAGAAACTGTTGGGATCTTGTAAAAGGGAAGCTGGTGTTTGAAAACAGTTTCGGTTTTAACCCTTTTCACTAAGGTAATAATCTCTTGAAGTCTATCATTCTGAAACCCTTCTTAGAAACGAATATTAGCCAAAGTACTCTTGTTTTACATCAATTTTTTTGGTGGGGGCGATCTTGCCAAAGGTGTTTGAGTCATCTGGATCTCCCCTCACCCCGGGGTATACCACGTTTCTCCGGTATTTTGTCTAAACTTTAATGAGTAATTAATTTAATACTGTTTATTAAAATGGGCATTATAAAGATCCATTATTTTCTCTGATGCTGTAGATAACTCCACTGGAAGGCCGACAACAATTTAAGCTAAGAAACTTATTTTTTTCCTCTCATGTGGGGAAAGGGGGACCTCATAAGTCATTGATACATTAAAGATTAAAAGGCATTTTTAAAGGACTTGCAGTATGACCTATTTAAATTTGTCATACCTTCTCACGAAATTAAAATTTCTTTCTAGCCGCAGCTTGCATCAGGTCTGCCTTCTAAAGATTTAGTCTAAGATAGTTTTGATTGCTGTCTATTGAAATATTTTACGCTTATTGCTCATTTTCTAATTTAAAGTCCTCCTTACAGTTAGGTATGTGGTTTGAAAGATGAGGTTATTTTTAATATATACCTGTCGCTGTATGATTGAATTGGGAGTGATACATACAAAACTTCTGGTTAGGAATAAATTTATTGATTGGTAATAAGCACTGTCTTCTGATTTTTTTTTTCCCTATCCAAGTCCAAAACCAGCTTTGCATTGCTAATTGTTGAATAAAGACAACATTAGCAAATTGTCATTGCCAAGGAAATTAAAAGATACAGTAAAGTGAGTTTTTTTCTGTTAGGATTGGGAAAATTATTTCCAAACACTGAGGAAGTTAAATATAGTATTGATGATAAGTAGTTATTATTTCTTTAAAGATTTTCTACCAACCAGCATCGGTTTAGTAGAATTTTTTTTCCTTTGTAGACAACATACAACAATGATTATTAAGAGATTATAACAAAATTTTTTTTCTGATGTGCTCTTTCTTTAGTCTTATCCAAAAGATCTTTTAAAGTTTATTTATAGACTCATAATTTGTGATTCTTAGCAATTTCAGGTACTTTTCAAACTTTTATGTTCTTTAATATTTGAACACGCACCTGGAATCTGGTTCTAGAATGTACTTCTACTGGGGGGGGGGTCAGTAAAAATGCTTCTTTTTTACACCCCTCCTGATGGATACATGTATTTATAGAGCAAAGAGCAAATAAATTCTTAGAATTTGTCTAAAGAAGGATAAAAGAGGACTTCTTTTGGAATTTAAAACTCTTGTGTTACTTCTTTTGCACAAATTATTTTTCATATAAAAGCTTGAAGAAATGTAGAAAACCTGATCCATAAAATTCATTTTTCTGCTTTCCATAAACTCATTCTTGATTACATCTGATTAGTAGAAACTTTGATTTCTTAGAGAAGTAGCTTATTTTGTTTTTCATTCTAAGATATTTGATTTTGTTTGGGTACAGTATAGTTACAGAGAATGATGTATGTTCCACTTCACCTTATTTCTCCTTTTTTTTCACAGTAGAAAGTATTATTGTAACTTAATGCTTATTAGGGTATCAGTGAAATTTATCATTTCATTTATTCCATAGATATTTTTGTAGCCATACCTACATAATTTTGCTTATAGCCAAGTCCATGAAATAGTCTTGCAAAAATCTTTATGTATGGTGTAACTTCCAATAATGGACTCTTTATTTTGAATAGAGCTCAAATATGAATTTAAGAATGTAACAGATGTCAGGGAGTAGAAAAATGCGGGATTTTTTTTTCTTGCCCATGTGTGAACTAATTTCTACTTCAGAATCACTTAAGACAACATTTTATGGGAATTCAAATATTTATTTAGCACTTACTGTGACAGAGAATGTAGTTGAAAGAACATCTGGTTTAGAATAATCCTAGGCCTGGGTTTGAATCCCAGCCTTGCTACTACTGTCATGTACCTACCCTCAAAGAATTTTGTGACCTAGGGTAAATTTTTTTTAAATCTTTCTTAGCTTCAGTTTCTTTATCCATAAGATTAGAATAATAGTACCTGCTTTATAGGGATGTAACATTAAGTACCTGAGGGAAGAATCAACTAATTACAGCTTTTCATCTTGAGCTTTATTTTAACTTCCTCTTTGTGGGACCTTCGGCAAGTTTCTTAACTTATCCATACTTAATCATGTTTAATACATTGGACCAGAAGCTGCTGTAAATCCAAGGATGAATTACACTATATTTCCTCTACCCTCAAGGAACTGTTGTGAACACAATGACTAATAAGGCAGAATACTTTTTTGTTAGAAAGCAATCAGAGGAAAGAGAAATCACCCTTGGTGAAGTAAGGAGGAAGACTGTAATTTTTATATTTTCAGCTTTGTTTTTGGAACATGTAATGTATTCACATGGTTCATAATTCATTTGCATAAAATAAGCAAAATGTCCTGTTCTCTTTCCCCATCACTGAAATGTTGCCTAATTTTTGTCTTTTCAGAGATATTCTATACGTATACAAGCAAATATGTATGTACTGTATCTGCCTTTAAATAAATGATAGCATATTGTACACTCATAATACTCAGTTCCTTTCTCATCCCCAACATGGCTTAACAATTGGTTTGTATCAACATAAAAGACCCTTTTATTTATATAGATATATAAATTATGAAGCATTTCTTTAGGTGGATATGCTTATAACTATTAACCAGTTAGTGAGCTGATTTTATTTTTAGATCTTTTGGACTTTTTAAACAATGAGAATTTGCCATTATGCCATGAAAAACATTTCATTTGAATGAAAAATACAAAATAATTTGTGACCAGAAGTTGATATTTCAACTGCTTTATTTTATTTTTTGCTCCATTTAAAAAAATTTATTTTCACATATACATGACAGTAGAGTATATTTTGACACATTATACATATATGGAATATAACATTCTAATTATGATCCCATTCTTGTGTCTGTACATGATGGAGAGTTACATTGGTTGTGTATATATGAGCATAAGAAAGTTCCATATGATTCATTCTACTGTCTTTCCTATTCCTATCCCCCTTCCTTCCCTTCATTTTGTCTAATCCAGTGAACTCCTATTCTTCCCCTTCCCACCCTCTCTTTTTGTGACTTAGCATCCACATAGGAACACTCAGCCTTTTTTTGGGGGGGGGGGCTGGTTTATTCCACTTAGCATGTTAGTCTCCAGTTCCATCCATTTACCATCAAATGCCGTAATTTCATTCTTTGTGGCTGAGTAATATTCCATTGTGTGTGTGTGTGTGTGTGTGTGTGTGTGTGTGTATATATATATATATATATATATATACCACATTTTCTTCATCTGTTGAAGGGCACCTAGGTTGGTTTCATAGCTTAGTATTGTGAATTGAGCTGCTATAAACAGTGATGTGTTTTTCTCCAGTTTTTAAAAGTTTTATTAAAATCATCAGTATACACAAAGGAGGCAAGCAAGCTGGGTATAAGAGCTGACTCACAAAGTGAAATTCATCTGAGTTTAACTTTAATTGAGATTCTTACAGTCCTCAAGAGACTGCTTCCTTCAGGTATTCTGGCCAAAAGAGTTTCTAAAGGTCTCTGAAAAGAATGTTTCATATAGTCCAGATTTTTCCCCCTTTAAAAGAAGACAATTTATGGATATTATTACCCAGTAAGGTTGATTAGTGTACTAGTTTTCTCCCTGCATTCATTGTTTTACATACTCATTAACTTACCTTGATAACCAGGTAATACACATTTCTTCTCATGCACAAAACAAGTTTCAGTGTCTCTCTGTTTTTCTTTCGTGGATCTTCAAAGCAGCACTAAGCTATGGTACATTTTAAATATACATGCTCTTAGTGTATTTATCTTTAAAATACACATGCTGTAAATTTTCTAAGTTGACTAAAACTCAAAAGTGATTACTGATCTAGAGACAAGGACACATACCACTTGTGTTCCAAAAAATTATTAAATAAAACAGTGATTGTGTAATTAATTTTCTGAAGTTGA